AGCAAATTTTGTTTGTAGACTCTGAAATGCATCAGGCAATATTTGGGTTTGAGATCCCCATAACAAAAACCAATGGCGAAACCAACTAGGGAATCTTTGTAGGACAGGGAGTTTGAATTGGATATACCAGGAATGAGTATTATTTGGATTTTGGTAGGCAAATACTTTATGCCATGCTTCAATGTATTCCGAATATTTATAAGATTTATATTGGAATTCTGGATTTAATAACCTTTTTCCCTGGAGGGGATTACATCCCCAATCCTTGTAAGAAAGCAATTTTTTGATTTGGAATTTCGAGTATGCGTATAATTTAGTAGTACCTTGGTAGAAGTGAACAATAGAAGCTGAACCAGTTTCCATGAGAATGGCTTCATACCATTCACGGGTTTTAATGCCATAAGATGGATTCAAGTGATTTGCAAGGTAGAGGGGAGCTATTTTATATGGGTCGAGTTGTGCATGAGCATCAGAAATGGTTATATAAGGTAAAAAAGCAGTATCTATGTAAACGGATTTGGCAGAGGTTGAGGTTTGTTTATGTGGGTATGATGCCGGGGAAAACGCCGGACTTGGAGTAGATATTGGACTCTGTGGAGGAGTCTGTATTAAGTATTTTGGTACGTTCGAGGATCGAAGGGGTGACATGGGTATTAGGTTAAGAGAGGAATGGGTGGGCATAAGAGGCCCATACCTATTACTTAGGACTAAGTCGATTGAATGTTTTCCTTTGGTATCTGGAGATTGAGGATTCATATTGATATTTGTATTGATATTCTTATTTGAGAGAAAGAGTTGCAAACCGTAGGAGGAAAAACCGTAAGATGAGATGGTATCGTCCTTAGGTTGTAGTATATGGTCCCCCCTGCAAAAATTCACGGTTAAGAAGTCAGGCAGAGAATTAGAAGAACCGTGAAGATGTTCAATAAAGAAATCAAAAGCAGATAGAATAGCTTGCCATCGGGCAAATATTTGCTTTGACACAAGATTTTGGACATCCTTTTGCAGAATGTCTTTGGCTGCCTTACAATCAGTGCGAATTAGAAAATGTTGATTAAGAATATTAGTTTGAAATTTGCAGACACAATGAATAATGGCTAGCAATTCTTTTTCTATAGTAGAGTAATTCTTTTGGGTAGGATTCCAAGCTTTAGAAGTAAAACGTATTAATTGTTCTTTAGAATCAATTGATTGTTTTAATATACCTCCTAATCCTATTTCAGAAGCATCGCATTCAATGATTTTAGAAGCTGTTGGATCAGATAAATTTAAACATGGAAGTTCTTTGGCTTTGAGTTTAAGTTTCTGTACAGCTAAAGTATGAATATTAGTCCAGGGTGGAGGATTCTTTTTTAACCGATCATATAAAGGTTTAGCATCTAAAGCTAGATTTTGGTAAAAATCACTTATATAATTGAGACACCCTAAAAATCGTTGCAATTCAGTTTTATCTAAGATTTTGTCAGGAAATTTATCAGCAAAGAGTATTGATCTATCAATTGGAATGATTGTTCCCTGATTGATATTATGTCCTAGGAATCTTATTTTTGTTTGGAACAGATTTATCTTTTTAGCAGAAACAACTAATCCAGCTGTTTTTACTGTGTGAATAAAAGTATGAAGATGTTTAAAATGTTGTTCTATTGATTCAGAAAAGACTAAAACATCATCAATATAAACAATCATAAATTTATAAAAGGGATTAAAGATATCATTCATTATTTTTTGAAATTAAGATGGAGCATTTTTAAGACCGAAAGGCATAACGTTCCATTCATATTGTCCGAAGGAGACATTGAAAGCTGTTTTATATTTATCTTCTTCTTTTATTTGGATTTGCCAAAAACCAGATTTTAAATCGAATTTGGAGAAGATTACAGCATGTAATAATCTATCAAGTAAGTCCTTGTTATTTGGAATGGGATATCGAATCCATTTTAAGACTTTATTAAGAGGTTTATAATTGATGATTAACCGAGGAACTCCTCGTTCCTGCTCAGCATTTTTATTTACATAAAAAGCAGAACAACTCCAAGGAGATGAACTAGGACGTATTAATTTCTTTTGGAGTAAATCGTTTATTTCTAGTTGACATGTTTGCAATAATTCTGTATTCATCTGAATTGGTCTAGCTTTTGTTGGTATTTTTGTTTCACTAAAACTTGGTTCATATGGTAACCCAATAATATGTTGTTTTCTATGCCAAAAAGCATTGGGTAATTCATTGCATATCTCTTTTTCAATAAAATGTTTGAGTTGTTGTATTTTTTGTATTATCTCATGAGTTTGAGCTTTTTGCTGATAAGTTTATGTTTGATTTCAAGTTGTAAAGATCCTAAGAAATTTTCTTTGTATTTCATATTCTGTTTAACAGTATTAATTTCTTTAATTTTTGGTTTATCAAGAAATTCAAATCTAATAGGAATACCATGAGTATTTGTTTCAATACCTGTATGAGAAATTGTAACTGGGTATAACAAAGTAAGAAAAGGTACGCCAAGGATCACAGCTTGACTGAGTCCTTTGACCATTATGAATGGAGTTGGAAAACAATGTCCTTCCGTACAAATTTTGGCATTGGATAATTTGTATTTGATAAAGAGTCTACTACCATCAGCCGTATTGTGGATTTGAGTGGTCTTATCAAAATATTTTGTAAGGACTAATCCCTCATTAAGGCAATTCAGATCAGCACCTGAATCGATCAATGCTAAAGATTGGAATTCATATTCATCATTGATGACTATGGTTATTAATACAAACCATTTTTGTGTTATTACTCTATTTAAAACATTTATTGAATGTCTATTTGATGATTCTCCATGATCCATTTGTTCTAAATAATCATTGGGATGATATGATTTGAGTAAATGATTGAACTCTACTATGTCTTCTTCAGCATGTAATTCGGAAGTATTATCATGAAGTTCGAGGATTTGAATCCTTGTTTTTAATTGGGCTAATTCTACTTTTACTGTATTCACTTCAGCTTTGAGGTCAGTAATAGGAGGTTCCTTTTGGGTGGCTTCATGCTGACTGATTCTTTTCATGAAATCAGAAAAATTATAATTATCGGGAGGTTTAACTAATGGTGTATGTTTTATTTTTGTTTTAGTTAAATTGATAAATTGGGTAATTATTTCTCTTTTCTCATTAGGGTCAGATATTTTCTCTATTAAATCTAAGATGAAATTATCTTCTTTGGTTAATGTATGAATATCAGAGGTTGTAATAGGGCATCTACATATTTCATCTTCTGTATTTGAACTATTATCTGACCAATAAAAATCATCATTATGTATTGTTCCTATGAAAGAAGTATCACTGCTTGAAGAAGTAGTATCATTATCTGAGCTATCAGTCGAATCATATATTTGGATAATATCATAGATTTTATTTCTGATAGACTCATCAAATGTAATAGAGTCTAATTTTTGTTTGACTTTGACTTTTATAATGGCCTACTTTGCCACATTTATAACAAACAGGTAATTTCTTCTTATTTTGAGCAAAACGTTTTGTAAATTTCTTATATTTTTTCTGCTTGGTTGAAAAAGACTTATATGTTTTGTCTGGTTTATTTCGATGTTTTTTCTTTTTATATACTTTATGGATTTTATGCGGTTTTGTTTTATCTGTATGACCTTGGTCCATATGATAGCCAAATTGTTGGCAAAAATCTCCTAATTCTTTTTTGCCACTTAGATTCTGTTTATCAAGTTGTTTTTTGAGTTTCAGATCTGTACATAGGGCTAGGCCTTCAGCACAGATTTCTGAGGATAATTCTCCTAGTGTATATTGGGAATAATTTATTACACCACTATTCTTATTTTTTAGACGTTCTTTGACCTTTTCAGCAAATAGGTAACGTAGTCCGGCTACGAACTTTTCTTTCCAGTGGTCAAGATGACTATCTTCCCGTATAAGTAGTCGGGAGAAAAAGACGTCTTTATACCATTTATAGTGTGATAGTGTAGGACATCGTAGATTAGATAAAAGATCAGCAGTTCTGGCTGCAAGTATCGAAGTATTTCCTATAAAATGAAGAGCAATTGTATATATTAAAGAGTTGACCGCATCACTTTCAGAATATACCATATCCTGGTTATGTTCATTTTTTGCTGTCTATTGTCGAGTATTAGTTAATATTTGTTATTTTGTTTGTTCATTAAGATAGGAATCCCACCATCCTCTAAGCCATCCGGTGAATCCTGAAACTATGGCTTTAGCTATTTCTTGGTCATGACTACCAACCATTTTACATGCCGATGCATACATAGTCATGTGTTTCATTGTATCTAATATTCTATGATCAGAAATTCCATCTATATTCCAATCTACAATTGTTCGACCTGCGTATGTAGAAGTATGACTTGTTAGGTCTTCTTCTAATTGGATATCAACTGGGGTTGGTTTTTTATAATATGGTTGGGCATTTATTGGTTGCCAGTTTTTACTATAATTGATACGATTTATATTATCAGGAGTAAGTTGTATTTCAGAAAATGCTTCTTGCATATTTTGTATTGTATTGGCAATGGGTGGTTCTACAACTTCATTAGTTTGGACAAGTATCTCTTCTTGTAGAGTCATAGTATCATGTTCAAGAATTTTCTCTTTTCCTTTATCATTTGTTGACAAAATGATTGTTGGTTTAGGATCTTTTATTTCTAGTTTAAATAATTTCGAAATTAATTGGCCCATAAGGGTTGTATTATCATTGCCGATATGAAATTTGTCTTTATTTAATTCAGGAGGTGGTTTGAAAAACAATTGTTTTTTCTCTTTGTGAGTGGGAGGTTGTAATAGATTTTCTAATCTATTTGTTTGTTGTCCTAGTGTATGAAGACAAAGGTTTGTATAATTATTTTGTTCGATTATGTGTGGAAGTAATTCCACTGCTATATTTGCATTATTGAGTTTATATGGTGTGGCTACTGTTTCATATACAACTATTTGGGTTGATGAAGATTCTACAGTTTGTTCTGGAGTTTTTGCAGTTGTTACTGTAGTAGCAACTCCTTGGATTTTCAGGCTTTGCTCAGGAGGATGTATAGATTTGATAGTAGTCCCTTCTGCGGTATTAAATACTGTATATTGAGTTTCTAACGTATTTATTTCAAAGTTAGGAATAAGAATATTGTGCTGGTTTAAGGTGTCCCTTAACTAGTCAAAAAAGCATTTCCCTTTATTTCCTTTTTTTCTCCATTTATTAAATTGTGAGTGAAATAATTCTACTAGTCTAGGTTTAAATTCTTTCACATACCATTCTCTAATATTTTTATTTTCTGGAGATAAAAAATCTTTGATAATATCATCTCGGGTGAATGTTTCTTCAATCTGTAATACTTGAACGAATTCTGCCTCAGCAGGTTCTTCTTCAGCTTTTCTATATTGGGGTATAATGATATTATCAGATGTTCGCAAAAGTCCATCAATCTGTGGTTTTGGTGTTGATGGAATACTTATTATAGGAGGAATTCTAGTATAAGTAGTAATGGATTTTCTTGGGGGTTCTGGATCTCGAAAAGAATGATTACTTGAAGTTTCTGAGATGGATGCATTATCCATAATTCTGTTATTTGTAGTAAATTGTATTTCAATGTTTCCGTCTGTATATTCAATAATCTTGTCTGGAATATTTTGAATAGGATTTTGTGATGGTTGGTTTTCATTATGAATAGCCCATGTTTGGGGTAGAACAATATCTGACCATGATATTGTTTTTGGTATAATTGTATTAGATTTTTCCATATTAGTTTGAAAAAATATTGTTTGTCCCCTAGTATCCATTTGGACATAGAGTGCTCATTACTTTATAAAATATCCGATATACAATAGCAATATTTTGCGAACCTGTTACCATATCAAATCCTTGTGTCTTAAGGTTTAAGGATAAAACATTTAGTATATTTGGATCTGTTAGTGATACAGAATAATTTAGAAAACAGTTGAAATATATTGGTCCACTACATAAACTAGATTCGACCATTCCTAATAGAGAATCTGAAAACCTATTATGCCTAGTATCTCGTAGACAAACTAGGATGGAATTATTTAATCCTAAGCGAGTTAAAGGTTTAACTGCTATTTGTATTAATCCTATATGTAAATATTTATAATTTCTATTTTTATGAACTTGTAATATTTTTTGAGATAATAACTGAAAATCTTCTTGGTTACTAGTAACAGAGAGAGTTTCTTCTACTGTTTTTATGGCATATCCGATTTTGAGGTCGAATGTACCTTTTTTGTAAATATCTGATATTGGAACCTTTGGTATGTTCCAATTCTATATTTGGTTTTCAATATCATTAATAATGATTTCTTCTATGTTCTTAATCCTTAGAGTTCTATTAGTTTTACTAGTTGTGGTATCTGTCAAATTCTTAATAAATTTCTCCATTATTAGGTTGCGGATAATGACAACTCAGGACGACCAAAAGTCCAGCTTTTTCCCTAAGCGGCTCTTCCTCGGCCTTGGCGGTACTTTGCATAAGACTTTTTCGTCTCGTGCCTTAACTCTCAGACCAACTTTCTCTAATGGATTAATTTATTAAGTTCCTTAAGATAGCAGAACTTGTAACACTATGAGATCTCTAAAACAGGGTTGGCTTTGATACCATTTTATGTCTAAGATCTACCCTATGACTTTTGCTAGCGTTACTGTACGTATTTCTAGAAGTTACAGAAGATATTGAAAAATTACAGAGTGTATTACTCTATTTAAAACATTTACTGAATGTCTATTTGATGATTCTCCGTGATCCATTTGTTCTAAATAATCATTGGGATGATATGATTTGAGTAAATGATTGAACTCTACTATGTCTTCTTCAACATGTTATTCGGAAGTATTATCATGAAGTTCGAGGATTTGAATCCTTGTTTTTAATTGGGCTAATTCTACTTTTACTGTATTCACTTCAGCTTTGAGGTCAGTAATAGTAGGTTCCTTTTGGGTGGCTTCATGCTGACTGATTCTTTTCATTATATCAGAAAAATTATAATTATCGAGAGGTTTAACTAATGGTATATGTTTTATTTTTGTTTTAATTAAATTGATAAATTGGGTAATTATTTCTCTTTTCTCATTAGGGTCATATATTTTCTCTATTAAATCTAAGATGAAATTATCTTCTTTTTTTAATGTATGAATATCAGAGGTTGTAATAGGGCATCTACATATTTCATCTTCTGTATTTGAACTATTATCTGACCAATAAAAATCATCATTATGTATTGTTCTATGAAAGAAGTATCACTGCTTGAAGAAGTAGTATCAGTATCTGAGGTATCAGTCGAATCATATATTTGGATAATATCATAGATTTTATTTCTGATAGACTCATCAAATATAATAGAGTCTAATTTTTGTTTGACTTTGCATTGACTTTTATAATGGCCTATTTTGCCACATTTATAACAAACAGGTAATTTCTTTTTATTTTGAGATGACTTAGAAGCAAAACGTTTTGTATTAATAACCATAGTCATAAATGATGAATATGAATTACAATCCTTAGCATTGATCGATTTAGGTGCTGATCTGAATTGCCTTAATGAGGGATTAGTCCCTACAAAATATTTTGATAAGACCACTCAAATCCTCAATACGGCTGATGGTAGTAGACTCTTTATCAAATACAAATTATTCAATGCCAACATTTGTACAGAAGGACATTGTTTTCCAACTCCATTCATAATGGTCAAAGGACTCAGTCAAGCTGTGATCCTTGGCGTACCTTTTCTTACTTTGTTATACCCAGTTACAATTTCTCATACAGGTATTGAAACAAATACTCATGGTACTCCTATTAGATTTGAATTTCTTGGTAAACCAAAAATTAAAGAAATTAATACTGTTAAAAAGAATATGAAATACAAAGAAAATTTCTTAGGATCTTTACAACTTGAAATCAAACATAAACTTATCAGCGAAAAGCTCCAAACTCATGAGATAATACAAAAAATACAACAACTCAAACATTTTATTGAAAAAGAGATATGCAATGAATTACCCAATGCTTTTTGGCATAGAAAACAACATATTGTTGGGTTACCATATGAACCAAGTTTTAGTGAAACAAAAATATCAACAAAAGCTAGACCAATTCAGATGGATACATAATTATTGCAAACATGTCAACTAGAAATAAACGATTTACTCCAAAAGAAATTAATACGTCCTAGTTCATCTCCTTGGAGTTGTTCTGCTTTTTATGTAAATAAAAATGCTGAGCAGGAACGAGGAGTTCCTCGGTTAGTCATCAATTATAAACCTCTTAATAAAGTCTTAAAATGGATTCGATATCCCATTCCAAATAAAAAGGACTTACTTGATAGATTATTACATGCTGTAATCTTCTCCAAATTCGATTTAAAATCTGGTTTTTGGCAAATCCAAATAAAAGAAGAAGATAAATATAAAACAGCTTTCAATGTCCCCTTCGGACAATATGAATGGAACGTTATGCCTTTCGGTCTTAAAAATGCTCCATCTAAATTTCAAAAAATACTGAATGATATCTTTAATCCCTTTTATAAATTTATGATTGTTTATATTGATGATGTTTTAGTCTTTTCTGAATCAATAGAACAATATTTTAAACATCTTCATACTTTTATTCACACAGTAGAAACAGCTGGATTAGTTGTTTCTGCTAAAAAGATAAATCTGTTCCAAACAAAAATAAGATTCCTAGGACATAATATCAATCAGGGAACAATCATTCAAATTGATAGATCAATACTCTTTGCTGATAAATTTCCTAACAAAATCTTAGATAAAACAGAATTGCAACGATTTTTAGGGTGTCTCAATTATATAAGTGATTTTTACCAAAATCTAGCTTTAGATGCTAAACCTTTATATGATCGGTTAAAAAAGAATCCTCCACACTGAACTAATATTCATACTTTAGCTGTACAGAAACTTAAACTCAAAGCCAAAGAACTTCTATGTTTAAATTTATCTGATCCAACAGCTTCTAAAATCATTGAATGCGATGCTTCTGAAATAGGATTAGGAGGTATATTAAAACAATCAATTGATTCTAAAGAACAATTAATACGTTTTACTTCTAAAGCTTGGAATCCTACCCAAAAGAATTACTCCACTGTCAAAAAAGAATTGCTAGCCATTATTCATTGTGTCTGTAAATTTCAAACTGATATTCTTAATCAACATTTTCTAATTCGTAATGATTGTAAGGCAGTCAAAGACATTATGCAAAAGGATGTCCAAAATCTTGTGTCAAAGCAAATATTTTCCCGATGGCAAGCTATTCTATCTGCTTTTGATTTCTCTATTGAACATCTTCACGGTTCTTCTAATTCTCTGCCTGACTTCTTAACCCGTGAATTTTTGCAGGGGGGACCATATACTACAACTTAAGGACGATACCATCTCATCTTACGGTTTTTCCTCCTACGGTTTGCAACTCTTTCTCTCAAATAAGAATATCAATACAAATATCAATATGAATCCTCAATCTCCAGATACCAAAGGAAAACATCCAATGGACTTAGTCCCAAGTAATAGGTATGGGCCTCTTATGCCTACCCATTCCTCTCTTAACCTAACACACATGTCACCCCTTCGATCCTCGAACGTACCAGAATACTTAATACAGACTCCTCCACAGAGTCCAATATCTACTCCAAGTCCGGCGTTTTCCCCGGCATCATACCCACATAAACAAACCTCAACCTCTGCCAAATCCGTTTACATAGATACT